TATGAACTCCCTTAACTCTGAGCTTCCGTTTCTTGTCTTCTAAATGAAGGTGTGGGGTATTATTGGCTGATTCTACTGGGGCACCATGAGAAACAGTTACATGGGCACTCTCACTTCACAAGAAAACCCTCTGAATTAAAAGCATCTAAATGACAAAGGCTGGGTTTGAGGGTTGCGTATATATAGAGAGAAGTAATTTATTAACTCCGATATGATTTTCCTTTAATTTCCAATGGGAATTGCAGATGTTCAATGGTCTTTCTAGAAGGCAGCATATTCAATGCCTAGTTTTGAAACTAAAACTAGTTTTTCATGTATTTTCTATTGTATCCACAGAGAGCCATATTAAGTAGTTTACAACCAGTCTTTCAAATGACATGTGAGTATTGTTCAAATAGCTACTCATACTGTTTTATTATGTGGCATCCAGGGTAGTTGGCTAAGAGGCTTTGCCACATCTTAACTAATATCATCTAAGGGTGTATATTTAAACTCTGGGCCCCTAGGATAATAACTTAAAATGATTTCTGAAGAAGCGGGGGAGGCCCTCAATTTGAAGGCTTTCTCCAGGGCTGGGTTGCTAAGGTAGTACTTGAGATTTAATCAAGTGTAGGTTTCCAAGTTAATAATCTTTTAACATTAAACAGAATATTTAAAAACCGCCTACACACAGATGTGGTATGGCCCAGTGGAGATTTCTTTGTACTTTTATTCTTTTGTACTCAATAGCCTCAAACTTTGTAGTAAAGTACCTCACCAGTCCACACATTGATCAGTGACTGTCCTTCTTTAATATGTGGGACTGTTCCCCTCAAGGGTCAAATGCTGACCATGAGGTTTATGAAATATCAGTTTGGAATCTCAATGTGCCAAAGAAAAGCCAGTGGTAACCTATGGATCCAGGCTGGTGGGAGTTAATGGGAATGGAATGTCACAGAAGTAGTGCTTCTGGGTGGGAAGGAATATACTAGTAGTGGAAAGACCTAGTTAAGTGAAAAAGGGAGAAAGAAATAAGAAGTCTCCTCACCTCCAAACAACACAAGATACATCTCCTAACATTTCCTCACAGACACATATGTAGATTATGTGTTGGTCTAGAGCAGGGGTGGGGAACATCCAGCCCAAGAAATCATTTGGTGTGGCCCTGCCAAAGCATTAGGGGTGAGTTAATTAAATGTTTGAGCAAATATAGCAGGCTAATTTTTAAGTTGATAATTTTGTATGGCCCTCCGATGAAGTTATAAATATCCAAATGGCCTGTGGCAGAAAAAAGGTTCCCCAACTCTGGTCTAAGCCTGGACTCTGGAAACAGATTTCATGAATTTAAATCCCAGCAGCCTTACTTGGTTGTACTTAGTTAATTAACCTCTTTGTATAGTGGGGAAATATGAGTACCTAATAGGGTTATGCTGATGATCAAATGAAATCATGTATGTTAAGTGTTTTGCACATGTGCAGAGTACCTTGTAAGCACTCACTTGATAATCAGCAATGACATTAAAATAAGTATTCTTCCTTCCTATCTGTTTCTTTGAAAGTAACTTAATGTAAGCAATGAAACAAGATTGGGTTCCTTTGTGGGTGCATCACAGTCATCATTGCGGAAATATGGAATCTATCACACTGCACATGATGACAATGGAACTACTCATGGCGTTGTCAGAAGTCCAAGTCTTCACCCAGGTGATGCACATTCCCCTGCCTGAAATAGCCTGAGGAGCTGAATCCTTGCCCATACACATTGTACCAATGGATTAATGTGTTCAGAAAAATTACATAATGGAATGCTTTGCCCAGGATAAAGAAAACTATATAAAGGCATTACTTGGATCTATAGACTGAGGAAGTATGACTCCTTGACAAATAGAAAGCTAGAATGTGTGGAGAACAAGACACATGAAAAAGAAATGCCTTCATGGGCTTAGGAAAAAGTTCCAATGAATGCAATGTATCCTTGCCCTATCATCCACTATTTTGACCCCTCTCAAGAGCAATGTTTGAATACAGAGTGAAGAAGAATATGTATGTATATGGTGGATCGGTGACCGCAAATTGACACTGTGTAAAAAGTCAGTACAGGTCACTGGGGTGGACACTGAAAATGTGCTGATGCACCAATGAAGATGGGTAATTGTGAACTCTACAGGGGCTCTGGCTCTGATTTCTACCTGCTGCTGCCTCTGGCTGGCAACAGCGTACCAGCTGCCTCATCTGCTCTGGACTGCTGGGTCAGCAGAGCACCCCACTGCCCACACCGTGCTCTCTGTCAGGGTGGCCAGCCCCAGCCCCAGCCCCAGCTGCCCCTCCCAAGCATCTCTCCCCTCCTGACCCTGTTATGCAGAAAAGGACCACCAACAGTTTCTTTCTTCTTCCCCTTAAACTCCTCTACCTACTTTGAATCTAAGTGATGGGCAGTCTGTTCACAGATGCACTTTTTCTTTTTCCCTTTTCTTCCCTTCCTCTTTCCCACCTCCCCTCCCCTCCCCTCCCCTTCCCTTCTCTCCCCTCCCCTCCCCTTCCCTTCTCTCCCCTCCCCCACCCCCTTCCCTCTCCCCTCCCCTCCCCTCCTCTCCTCTCCTCTCCTCTCCTCTCCTCTCCTCTCCTCTCCTCTGCCTTCCCCCCTCTCCTCTCCTCTCCTCCTCTCCCCTCTCCTCCCCTCCCCCCTCCTCTCTCTCTCTCTCTCTCTCTCTCTCTCTCTCTCTCTCTCTCCCCTATGTGGTGGTGGGGTGGGCATGGTAGAAGTATCATTCCTGTTACATAAGAAGTAGAGCTTCTCCTTTAAAATGTTCATACTTAGGCTTTGGGTCCAAGAAATCACTGATTTTTGGCAACCTAATAGCTTCTTTTCACCTTAAAGCCTAATGACCTTTTTAAATTCTATTATTCTGTATTACACCTCCTAACTTTCCCATAAGGTGGGAAATCAATGCAAAACCCAATGCTGATGTCCCCGCTGCCTCTACGTACTGCTAAATTCAGAGCTAGTGCCTGTGTGGGCTGTTCTATCAGGCAGTGTGGGCCCCCTGGAAGGTAGTACATCATTTATCACACCGCTGTACACTTCTCACAAAGGTAACTGAGGGTGACTGCCATGAAATCATCAAGGGCAATATGATTATGACACACTTGTCCAATTTTTTGACTCTCAGTTTACAAATAGAAATTATGCAGGATTCTTGACATTTTACTGGGTAGCTCCTAATTTTGCTTAATTGAAAAGTCCGTTAAGTGAATTTTTGTGAACAGGGTGATGTTATTATGGGGCTCGAGATTACTTATCATCACCACCAGCAGATTAGCAATATCTCCGTTATCTTTGATCCACTCCATGCTCTCTTCATCCTCCTCAAGTATGCCATCCTTCCTTCCTCCATCTCCTTCCTCTCTTGTCTATAGTTATCATTGCATTTATTAATTGAAATATGTCATTAGTACACTTCTGGGTGGGATAGGAAGAAAATATACTTTAATGCAAATTTATAGTAGCTCACTTTCTCTAATCCAATTTCCTCTTTTCTAATCCCTATTAAATCTGTTAAGTATATGTTATTCTATTTAACCAGGTCACCCAAGAATTCATCCTTGAGGCTGTTTTCCCTCCTATTTATGGAATCCCTAAAGTCAGAAATGAAACAGGTAACTACATTTCTTAACAAATGTCTTCTCAAGTGTCTTGAGATATTAATGTCTATATCTGAAGTGAAGAACACCGATGTTTGATCTTTGGAGACAAGTAAACAGGGGTATGAATTCTAAACTTCATATTGATGCAGCTTTTGCATATCCATATCCCTCCAACTCTTACAGACTGAAATCAATGGAAGTTATGAATGAGAATAGTTTGCAGTGGTTTTTTCTTATGAGTTGGATTTTGAGCCATTTTAAAATGACTTGAATACTTCATTTCAAGAGAACTCTCACTGAAATTGAATTTTCTCCTAAAAATCCTTTTTTTTCTTCTTCAAGTCTCCTCTAAACTCTATAAAGCAAGATGGAGACATCTCTCCTGGCCACAGTATCTCTAGGTTTTCCAGTAGAACCTGTGTAGAAAAAAATCTTCTAGTGGCTTGTTATTCCAAAATAATAATAGTTAATTATTTGGATTTTCTCCTTTAGTCCAAATAAACTTTCTGTACCAGCATATGCTAACATTTTTGTTTGTTTTACTTATTTCGATAAGCATTTCCTGATTCCAAATGTTATCATCTTCCATAATCTCTTTATACTTCTGTTTTTCAGGGAGCATTTGCTTCTTTGCTCAGAGCCACCAGCCAACAGGGCAGGGGTCAGATACCTAACTGTAATGTGTTGCTACAGAGCAAAGCCCCAAGGTGTGCTCTCCTACTAACATCACTAATGTATCATGACTGATCCCTCCTTAGTCTGCCTTTAGGCTCTTCTTAAGTTTTCAGAAATGCCCCTCTATCTTACCATTCCATCTGTCTTCTAAAAATACATCATATAAGCAATGTTTCTGGCTGTCATATGGAAACCTGTCAGCAACCATTCTTCTTCCTTTAGATTTTATATTGTTTTAATCATTAATTCCACTTTTCCTTGTGTTGTTAATAATGCACTTTCTTTTTCCAGCCTCTCTCTTCTTCCAGCACCTAATTCATCCTCACTTCATATTAATCAATTAATCACTTTCATCACTGCCATTTTTATACTGTCACCTATTTTCTAGGGTGTTACATCACCTCCACTCTTTAAAGAGACAATCACCAAAAATATATTTGTTCTCTGAACAAACAACAAACAAACAAGCAAACAAAAACAAGGCAGCTATCCAAAGTAAGCCAGGGAATAGAGAGAGAAGTTGTTCCACTTGTAAACTTGTCTTATGCAGAGGTATTGAGAACCTTTTTTTTGTTTCAGTGACTATAGTCTGATTTTTTTATACATGTACCTTTATAGATAAAGACATGATTTTTAAGCTTCCCATGGGATAATTCAACCAACCAGATGCTCCCAGATTTGGCCTGTGTTGGCATACTTACTGAAAAGGACTAGGCTGGCATTGGTGACCCCCAGCTTGTTGGCAGCCACGCAGGTATAGTTTCCATAGTGCTCCTCAGTGACGTTGGTCACTGTCAGGGAGGACTGGCCCTCCGTGCTCTTAATCTCAAGGCCATTGGCACTGTTTATCCTAAGAGTTCAAAAACAGAAAAGTAAAAAGAAACACTGATGAAGATTTAGCTTAGTAATTCCCTTTTCATAACTATATTGGAGGTAAAGAAGAGAAAGAAAGTGGTTAAAGTTCTTGTTCCCTGTCATGTCCTCATTTTAATTGTGCAATTCCATATTATCTGAATCAATTTCCATCCACAGAGAAGACTCAGGATGGATGAGTTTCATTGGGCCTTGGTTTCTGCTATAAGCAAGAAAGACATGCAGGTGGAAATGACCCACTGGCCACCTGCCTCACTCTCTGCATATAACCCGAGTGCTTTTGCAGCTTCAGCTTAAGAATTACAGTCCTGAAAGCACTTGATAAAGAGATTTTGAAAAGAAAGAGTCTGAGAGTAGAGGCTACGGAATTACATTTGGACATGTTTTCATCATTAGGGCTTCTGGTGCCCTTAGGACCACCTATCAGAGCAGTCGGGGCACAGCAGGTTTGGCACATACATACCTAGTGTCATCCCGGTACCACTCAAAGTCAGGGGCAGGCACCGCGGAGGCCTCACATTTGAGTGAAGCTTGTCGCCCTGTGGTGGCTTCGTTGCTCTTGGATTCCGTGATAGTGGGAGGATCTGTGGGAAGGACAGGTACAGAGTTTACATGATGATCGGAGGGCTCTCCAGAATTTCCATGCAAGAAGGAATTAGAAAGGAGAATCTGATTGGAGAGGTGCAGGAAAGAAATAGTCTTAGAGCGCCATTTACATGAATTATGTGATCAGCTGAATGGGACTGATCACTAGAAAACTAAATGAAAATAAGAGACGACTAATGAAGCCACAGATGTGGTTTACTTAAATGGGACACTTAACAGGGTTTTATGGAAATAGAATCTAGGATTCCTTTTTCCTTCCCCTAAGACACCATCAATTACTTCAACCATAGATTGTAATATTGACCTATTTTTTTTCTCTTCATAAACTAAGTGGTGATACTAAAGGACTTTGGATTTTTATGTATACTTTGAGCATTTTTCGTTTTCACCATCATCATTATCATCATTGTGATTGTTACAGTTTGCGATGATAGTAAGCAGTCTGATGAAAATAATACAGAGCTAAAGTTCTCCCAACCCAAGCTTAGCCTAATATTTTTTCAGGAATTCAGAAAAACAAACAGTTAAGTATTAGATGATTACTTAACCCTCTTTCTCTTCTATCTTCCCTTATTGCTATGACCCAGGTAAATTTTTCTTTGATGTGGGAAGGTGCAATTTGACGTCTATCCTGGTGTCAACCTTCTCCTCTCTCTGGCAGCTGTGCACTGGATTCTGTCTGCTTAGAACTGGCCTACACAACTGTAACAAAACACACCTGACATTCTGATTTGCCATAGTTCTTTTTTAAAAAAATAAACATATATTTATTTATTTTCCTTTATCCATTACTACAAAAATTATTTTTTTTAAATTTAGTGATTTGAGAGAGAGAAATGAGTCACTTTGTTGTTCCACTTATTTATGCATTCATAAATAAGTTGATTCTTGCATGTGTCCTGACCAGGGATAGAACCCGAACCCTTGGCTTATTGGTACGACACTCTAACCACCTGAGCTACCTGGCCAGGGCAGTACCACTTAAAAAATCATTATTTTGTATTAGTTTCAGGTTTACAGCATAGTGGTTAGACAATCATATACTTCACAAAATGTTCCCCCCTGATATTTCTAGTACCCACCTGGCATCATACATAGTTATTACAATATTATTGACTATATTTTTTATGCTGTACTTTATATCCCCATGACTATTTTGTAACTACCAATCTGCACTTTTCAATTCCCTCACCCTTTTCACTCAGTTCCCTAACCCTCTCCCCTCTGGCAACCATCAGTCCATTCTCTATGAGTGATTCTTTCAAACAATCCTACAGAGGGTGAACAGGTGTTTACAAGTCCACATGGCAGAGTTAGAATGGCAGATGTGAGTTCCTGGCTTGATGATTCTGTGTTTGTGGAGGTTCTAGACCTTTAAGGAAAATATGATTTTTTTTTTGTCCAAAACCTATTTGCCCAAAAATGGCAACCTGGCTGCACATGCATGGAACAAAGAGACCCAAACTATCTGTTTAGACTTTGCAGAGGAAAAAGCTTATTTAAGGAAAATAGTAAAGTGATCTCTAGTACATAAAATTCATTTAAATCTCTTCAGTGCCTGGTTCAGCTCACTTATTTCTGTGTTTTTTCTTCATATTCATGTGTACAAAAGCATCCAGTGAGTCTGGAGTTTTCTCTCCATTTCATTTTCACATAAGCTTGGATATCTTAAATCATTGTCAGAGACGAGAAGTTAGAGCACATTTGGATAAGCACATCAGCCTGTGTGTAAATGGATGTCTCAGAGTGGGTGATGGTTACTGCTTTTGTTGCTTTAGAATTATCTGCTCATTTTTGTATAGGCACAAAAAGGCAACATGAGGAGTGGAAAGAACCCTGGCTTGGAAACTAGGATTTCTGGAGTTTAATTTCACCTTGCTTCACACACTTTATCTTTCTGAGTCTTGGTTTTATTACCAATGTAATGAGGGAACCACACTCTAATGATCTATAGCATCCTTCCAGCTAGTAAAAAATACCCCAGATCTAGTAAAACTGCTCATTCTTTACAAATGGGCAGTTTGTATCATTATGACCCAAATGTATTTTCATACCCCAAACTCATTTAACCCTTAAAATTCTAACATTCAAAATTATAGCTCATTTATCCATTCCATGGGTTAGGAGTCAGGGTTAGTAGTTAGAAATGGGAAACACAAGGACTGATTTTGAATCTTCTCTCAACCAGACCTGTGACCTGGGCAAGATTCTGCTCCAGCTTGAGCCATTTCTTTCTTATTGTTTAAAACAAGGGGTAGTTTAAAATGAGCACCAATGGGTTCCATTTAAATTTTTTTCATTCTATGATTTATTACATAGTTCATTGGAGCACATTAGCTCAAAGAATAATGTGATAACAGGGGGTAGTGGTGTTGGGAGAGGAGGTAGTTGTAGGGATGGGACACCCAATAGAGTTGAAAAACTTGTATTTAAAGTTTGATAAACCTGAGCTCAAATCTAGGCTCTGTCCCTCATTTTACTAGTACTTCCTAATTAGAGAGCTTAGTACCTTCTCTAGACTCACATTGCTTCAATTTTCTCATCTATGAAATATTGGAAACAGAGGCAATGGAGATTACTGAAGGATTCCAGAGAATACCTGCACTTGGTTTGTGATAACGGGGATGGAAGGAAATGGACAGATTTGAGATTGAGAAGTAGGAAGCTTCAGAATTGCTAAGATTAGATATGAAGGGTGAGGGAAAGAAGGAGGTGTGTCAAAGTTAACACAGGTAACAGGCAAGTGAGATAAGCTACGTAAGAAGAAAAATAAATGATCAGCAATAATACACTGAATGAATATTAGTTTCCTGTCCTCACCTCTTCACTGTACAGTTAGTTGACTCTTGAGCAACACAAGTTTCAACAGTGTGGTTCCACTTATGTGTGTGTGTGTTAAAATAAATACTAGAAATGGTTTAACATTTTCTTTTCTTTAGCTTCCTGTATCATAAGAATACATTATATAATACATGCAACAGACAAAATATATGTTGACTATATTATCAGTAAGACTTCTGGTCAACAGTAGGCTATTAGTAGTTAAGTTTTGGAGGAGTCAAAAGTTATAGATGGATTTTTGACTGTGCAAGGGCTGGCACCCCTAACTCCCACATTGTCCAAGGGTCAACTGTATTAGGTTCTTAAGTTGCCAATAACTCCACAGTCTGTAGCATGTTTGCTTGAGAAATAATCTTGCTCATGATTCTACTGCCTTGTTCAGTTGCTCAAATTGTGAAATGAGTTTTAACCAGTTTGTGAGTTCCTGGAGCCACATGGTTATAACTGACAAATTCTTAATGATAATTGCCACTTTGCTCAAACAGCCCTAAACCTGGGCCAGACTACACATTCATCACTTCCACGTTTGGCACTCACAGCTGTAGCACCTCAACATAATAATGCCATGGTAGATGCCTTCCGGTCCCTCCACTAGAAGACCAGGAATACAGGTCTCAGGTCTGAGTTTCATGGGAGAATTCTTCTTTGCTTTGGGTGTTTCCTTCCATGTGACACGGGCTTATTTAGTGTACCTCCTTGCTCTGAGACCCTGGGGGAAGAAATGGCTTTTCTGACTGAAAATTTGGGGAGGAGCAAAGTAGATTTATTTGGCTCAGCTCTTCCCCTTCTTCCTTTTGGGACCAAGCTTCTGGCAGGGATCACAGGTTCTCTTCTGCTTCTCAACACTAAAGTCTTACTGGGGCTCTCTCCTTCCACTCTCATGTGGGCAAGCCTGCCCTAGTCCAGCCCTACCATACCTTGGGGGAGGTAAGTCAGCCACACAAGCTACTACCTCTAATAACCTTGATCTCTAAAAAAGGGGGCCAACGGGCCTCCCCTACTACTTCTTTACTTATTTCTCAATGTGTTCAGAACCAAAACAGTTAAGTAGTAAGCTATTTATTAACTCCTCAGAAATGCCAGCATGGCAAAGGTGGCAGTAAATTGGGGCTGAATAGTATTAATTGTATTAATCTCGGGACAGAATGACACCAGTCAATGACAAAGGCCAAACACTTGCTTCTCTCATTGAAAATCTAGGGAGTTTCTCATACTAGGGTAAATTCCCAGGTAAAGACAAATGTATGAAGAGCTCATTGTTGCCAATATTTCTCAAATGACACAATGCTGCAGGTCTATTTGTTCATGGTTTATTGGAGTGAACATTTCAAAATTCATTTGTGATGAATTCTATATAGGTGAGGCTAAGAAAAATTGTTACAAATCATATTGTGGCATGCCTATTGTAGTTAAAAAATAGATGTCCTTGCTCAAAATACAGTTATAATAAAAATGTGACTTAATAAAAATGTTGCATGGAGGTTCATTGTTATTTGTTATATGACTTTGGAATAGCTTACAATTGTCAAAGGACTCTTCCAGTTTTTATTACTCCAAAATACTGGGTTCTGAAAATATTAATAAGGGCTTTCTTCTTATATCACCAATAACAAGACTCTTGCAATTAGAATGAACAGGATAACAATGACAGTGGCCTAGCAAACAGAATAGCTTTCCTTTACTCTTCCTAATATTAGGAATAATAGTGTATGTAATGAAATTCTTAATGAGGAATCCAATTTATAACTATTTACTATATGTCAGTTCTCTGCTAGGCTTTATATTCTTTCATCCAAGTAGTAGCCATTAGGAGGTAAGGATTATTAACCCATTTTATAAATGAGAAGACAGACCTACAGAGTGTAGTAACTTGTCACATAGCCAGCATTTGAGTGAGTCTAGATTTTAACCCATCTTTCTGAAGCCCACACTCTGAACCTCTCTGTGCTTCCGTTTGAATAAATTCCTTTAGAGAAAATGAATTCCTGCTAATGAAAAATACCATTTAGAGGAGCATGCTGGTAGCTTAAAGGGTAAATGTTACATTATTCTGCTATTACAGATAACAAAAAATGGTACAATATGCAGTGACATCATAGATATAAACTTACATTAGGAATCAGGAGACGTGGACTCAATTTCTGCCTGTACCACTTAGGTTGTCACCTCCCAGAGGTGACATGCTGATGTCCTGGAGCCCCTGACCTATTAATTTAGATGATGATACCTGCCTACCTATCTTTCAGGTTTGATGTGAAAGTTAAAAAAATGTATATAGGAGAGCATGTTTAATGGGTGAAGTGATTACATTTATTGATTACCATTAGCACATGGTGTCATGGAAGAAAAGAGGACTTTAGAATTAGACCCGGGTTACACTCCCAACTCTACCACTCACAAGTTCTTTGGTTTTGTGGCAGAAAATGCTTACATATTCTGAGCTTTGGTTTTGTCCTCCTGCAATGGGGATGATTCGATTATCACCCAGGGTTAGTGTGCAGAGGCGGGCCAATGGGGTGGGGGCAAAGAATGCAGGCAATAAGACAGACATTGTCTATAGAGAATTTAGAAACAATAACGAAAGTGACTAAAAGTTGTCTGTTTTTTGTTGTTTTTTTTAAATCATCATCTATCAGCAATACTGAACAATATCAATGATAATGTAAATATTCCTCCTCGCTGTCCCAAGGGCTGGTATCTGGAAGCAATTAGTGGCTATCCTGTAAGTAAGATATAAGAAACAAGAAGTCCTGCCTGTTGTACAAAATTTTACTAGGCTTATTTTAGTTGAAGAGATTTCAGGTCAATAATTTAGCTTCTGTAAACTCCAGGACCTCCTGCGATTTAGAAAATGGATTTTGTGTGTCAAATGGCTATGTGCAATGCCACAGACCAACCATGAGCAGTATCAAGGGAAGTGAAGAAGGAGAGATTGCAGAATCCAGCTGGTGAGCTATTGTAAACAGGAGAAACTGTTAGGTCTCTCCTGTTTACTGCTCTAGCTTCTCAGGGCCCAGCAACAAATACCTATTAGCCACTGAGTAAAAGAATCAATAAAATGCTGGTAGGAGATAATTACCAGCACTGGGATTTTTTTTTATATTGGTACTCAGGATCCGTTTCATTACAATAATCTATTCAGCCATTAATTATCTGAGCCATCCTGATCCCCTGACCTAATTCAAAACCCTATGTTTTGAAAAGGAAGAGGGGTCAGTTTAAATAATGGGGAGTTTTCATAGTAGGCAAGCTTGGATGGAGTGACAAAGTTGATACTAGATATTTCTCTGTACCACAGGTTTTGTTAGACAGACCTGGTGATGTAATTTAACATTGGAGACTTCATCTTTTTAATATGATTACATTAAAGTAGAACAAGTTGTGTGAGCAGGGCAAGAGGAGCAGTGGCTAGTTGTTATAATGTATTATAAACACTTACAAATGCTACCTCCCTCTTCCCATTTATTTTTAAAAATTTTTATTGAATTTATTGGGTTGACAATGGTTAATAAAATTATATAGGTTTCAGGTATACAATTCTCTGTATATTGTATTGTGTGTTCAACAACCAAATCAGGTCTCCTTCCATCACTATTTTTACCCCCTACACTCTCTTCTACCTCCTCTCACTCCTCTTTCCCTCTGATAGTCACCATACTGTTGTCTGTGTCTATGAGGTTTTTTCTTTGTTTAATCTCTTCACCCTTTTCACCCAGCCCTGCAACCCTTCTCCCCTCTGACAGCAGTCAGTCTGTTCTCTATCTATGAGTCTGTTTCTATTTTTTTTTTTAGTTTATTTTGTTCATTAGATTCCACATATGAGTGAAATCATATAGTATTTGTCTTTCTCTGACTGGCTTATTTCACTTAGCATAATGATCTCCAGGTCCATCCAAGCTGTCGCAAAGGGCAAGGTTTCTTCTTTTTTAAATACAGCTTATGAAATGTTGGTAAAAAGATGATTCCAAAGGAAACTGACATTTGAATATACTTCCTGATTTGTAACTAACATCATTGGCAAAATTTGGAGAAATGTTAAGAGGGCAGAGTGTACCTGTGAGTTTCCAGGTACTCATTCAGTAAACATTTACTGTATGTCTGACTAAGCTCATTATACTAGATTTCCATTATGAGGTATTTTTTTTAAATCTCTAGGTTCTGTCCATAATCTTCTATGGTTCACTCATCACTAGCAAAAGCTCAAATTTTCATAAAAGCCTTTTCTTGAAAATTAGCAGTATTTTCTTCTCTCTTAAGTTACACTTTGGGGACAGTCAAAAAGGACCAATGTCAGACTAATTGCACCAATAATAAAAGGGCCCAGGCGGCTGGCTTTGATCTGGGGAACCATCTGTAATGCAGACCACTTTGATGTTCCACACAATGGAAGCATAAATATTTTCTATGTACTCCATGATTGGACTTTCAGAAATCTAATTAAGATGAAGGTCAATTAAGAGAAAATAAAATCTTAACTCCAAAAGTCAGAGAAGAGGTGGAAGATGATGGAATAGCTGTGTGTACATAAAAGAAGCTAACTAACCTAATTACAACTTGTATAAACACCCAGAGAAAGTGTCTTTCATGTGGAAAAAAAAGGTCCTAAAGCATTTTATGACATTGCGATCATTAATGTGTCTTTGAAACACACCCAGTGCTGGAAAAGAATAGGAATACTGACATTTCAAAACTCTATTACTAAAAAAAAAATTGGAGACAGCTCAGGGATAAAAGCACTTCAGACCTCATCAAATGCAGCCCCTTGCTTCTTGGAAATGAGTGCCATCAATGTCTCCGGTGGAGCTGCAGCTACTGGTTTCTAGGCATTCGGTGCAGAAGGCTGCAAGGCTGGAGGAAGGCTCCTGGGTACAGGGCAGCCTGGCGTGGCTGCCTCACCTTAGGCAAGTTTCCTCAGCAATCTATGCCTCCGTTTCCAAATTTTAAAGTCAAACCAATAATATTTATCTCATGAGTTTACTGTGAATATTAAATGACAAATGGAAATCCCTTCATCCAGTGCTGCACATTTTAGGTAATAAGAATTGAAAACTCCTCCTTCTCCTCCCCTTTTTCCTGAGAGCATGAGCTTTAGAATCAGACTTAGTCTGTGTCCCTCTCTTCTGTCTGCTGCTCATGTCACCTAGGAAAGGCCATTTTATGTCTTTGGGCTTCAGTGTCTGAAACTCTAAAGTGGAATAAATTATATCTACCGTCCCCAGGAATTTATATAGACTCACTGGCACACAGGTAAAGGCATGGAGGACTTACGATAACAAAAAGTTATCAGTCTAAAGCATTCTTTCAAATAGGGGTTGTTTGTATCTGTGTCTTTGTGTCTGTGTGCCTCTGTGTGTTATATGTGCATATGTGTATATTTTTGTGCATGTAGGGAATATGTGTATATTTCTATGTATTAAATACAGAGAAGGAAAGAACTGTCAGGACACCTCTTCGTCTCTGTCACCAGTCACAATTGTGTGATGTGAAAATGAATTTGAATGATGTGGAAAATCACTTCTCACTGAAAAGGGTAAACAAATTCTCTTTATTCATTTTTTTAGGTGACACATATCATATGGAGCCACCCCTCCCCCAATCTTTTGAACTACATCTAAGGATTCTTTCATCTGAGAAGTTCAAAATATGCCCACTTACCTATGCATCTTTGAGAAATCTTTCTTTCTAATGCCCAAAGTAATCTCTTACTTTGCAACAAATAGGTAACCAAAATTAACTTATCATGTATCCTAGCCCTCAGGGATACATGGTTTCTGACCACAGTGGCTTGAATTTGTTCCCAAGGCCAATTAGTTAAATAGCAGAGGATAAAATATGATCTTGGGTTATTCCCTCTGACAAACAATGCATTAAGGTAAAAGTTCCATTTAAAGCCAATATGAATTGTTGCTTTTTTCCCAAGTGGTATGACCTTGGTCTCCACAAAGACTCGAATAGTGATTGCCAGAAATGCTAGTGCTCTCTGATCATGTTTTCTTAATTCTATAGTCTGAGTAAAAGGCAGAGTGCATTGTTAAATGTATTATGGGTTATATTTAGAGTTGGTCAAGTTGATTTATCAAATTCAAAGGCCAAGTCCTGCCCTTGGATGTGTCGAAAGTATAAATGTGCATCCCTGACCAGAGGAACATCTGCTTGAAATGCAATGTTCTTTTGCTAATGGGATGTTTAGAGCTCATGTCAGGTGGAGGGCCCTGGGCACACAGAGCCTGCTGCCATACTCACAGTTCACAGTGACCTTGACTTGTTTGACATCCGCCGAGGAGACCTCATTGGCTGCTTTGCACTCATATTTGCCTGACTGCTCCCTGGTGATGCCGAGGATCTCCAGATATTCTTCTTCTCCTTCAAATTCTCTTCCTGAAAAACAGAAGTTTGTATGATTGGTTTTTAAAGTTTAACATATGCAGCAAAGAAAGAAAGAAAGAAGCCAAACTACGGTGTAATGCCAAGTTCACAGAAGGCCAGCTGGCTCCATCCCTTGGGGAGCTCTGGGGATAGCACCTGTCCCACTTCCAAGTCATCCTGACCAAGAGGCTAGAAGCTGGATTATATATTCACATCCCTCAGTCATTGGTTAAGGGCTTAGAACAAAGTGGGAGTTGGGGGGAGGTATACACAAGTTGTAAAGGGCTGACATCATCGATCACACCACACTGCAATGAGCTCTTTCAACCAAGGTTGTGTTAGAAGGAAACATGGCTTTTTTTTGAGAAACTGTCACTCTTCTCCCCAGTGTATGTAGAATTTTGTTCACAAAGGTCACGTTCAGAACCCTATTTTGCAGTTATGGCTTCCTTGTTCAGTGTGAAACTCCATCAGTCACTAAGACTTCCAGGCCATGGGCCAGATCCATGAGAATGTGCTGCTGATGGTGCATTCTCAGTAACACTGGCTTAAATAGTTGGGATTGACAGGGTTGTTTAATTCCCTTCATGAAGGAAGTGAGGAGATAAATAATGAAGAGGTGATAGGGGAAGAAAAGGAAAAGGAAACAGAGAAGGTAAAGTAGAAAAGAGGTTGAGCAGGGAGAGCTTGGCCAGAAAGGACTATGGACTTCAAATCTAGCTAAATTAAGCCCACTCACCCCCAAGTTGCAAAACCCCACTACTGCTTGGGTTACAATAGAGCAGCTGGGAGAGTGCTAAAGAACATAGTTCTGCCATTCCGGTCATCCTAAACTAAATGGTACCAATTAATAGCTCTGCTCAAATGCCACAAGCTGTTTCCCTTTTCTGGAAATTCCCTGATGGTCATATCAACATACCAGACAGCACAGAGACAAATCCATTGTCTAAATATGTCAACTAAGCCTGTTAACTAGGCTCCCCATAGAACACACAGCCTCTTTGATAACAGTCTATAACACAACTGCCGGGAACACTCCAAATTTAAGTCTTCTGTCAATGTCTCTATTACTAGCTTTGAGGGAACTTTGTAATCCCATTAATAAAAAAGGCAATGGTTATATAAAATTACTTGGTTCTGAAGTCCTAAATATTATCTAGCACACACTTCTAGTAAAAAGTGATTTAGAATATGTTTTTAAGTATATAGCTGCATATCCTATATAATAAAGTGCTAATATGGTAATTAGACTGGATGGCAGAATGATCTTCTGGAAGGACCTTCCAGAATGACCAGTGGGTAGGGGTTGGGCCGTGGGGCTGTGAGGCAGCTGGGGTGCAAGGGCTGAGTCCCTTGCACGAATTTCATGCATTGGGCCTCTAGTTATTTATAAAAGGCTTTTTTTCCCTTCCCTTATGTTTGTTTTCCCTTTTCTTGTCTCCATATTCAAGCAAGTAGTCAGACCTGACTTCATAGGTCACAGAAGTGGAATATGGTAAAAATGGAAACAGAAACCTCTGAAAGGGTAATAGTCCACTATATTGGATTAGATGGACAGGATTTTTGTATCTATGGACTGAGAGTCATGTCAACTAGCTGAGACTAAGACTTTTCTAGCTAAACATAAATGCCCAGTTGGTGTGGCTCAGTGGCTGAGTGTGACTAGGAGGTCAAGGTTCCGGGTCAGGTCACATGCTTGGGTTGCAGGATCCATCCCCAGTAGAGGGTGTGTAGGAGGCAGCCAATTAATGATTCTCTCTCATCATTGATGTTTCTCTATCTCCCTTTCTCTTCCTCTCTGAAATCAATATATTATAAAAAATAAAAATAAAAGTAAACATAAATACTCTGAAGACCCATGGCAGCTCTGACTGTTGAGGCCAAAAAGTTGTAAGCTCATTAAAAACTGTAGTGCAGAGGGGAAATTGACAGTAAGACATGATTATTGATTTTGAGGATAATGATGTAGTAAATAAAAAATAGTTAAATACGTTTCAGAATGTTTTAGGATTTCTTTCCTACACCCATCAACCTTATTCCAAAGTGGGTACAGATGTGAGTAAAAGAAAAAGAGAACAAGTATGGTCATCTTAGAAATGGCTAACAACACTGAATTCTTCCCAACTCCTATAAAATACCTAGAAATGGTAAGTAATAGGTCCCAAACTTGCATTTTGAATGTCTGATATAAACCAGTTCCAGGAGAGAAAAATATAATTTTAGCAGCAGTACCACCTAAGGCCCTACCAGTTTGGGAAGATAGCACCATAAGAGTAAACATTAAGGTGAACTAGAGAAAATAAAACAATATTTATTTGGTTTTGGACCTGGGATTCTTCTTATGTCAATGTATTAATAATTTCATTTCTTCCTGATAAGCAGATAATAAAACAGATCCTTCCAGGATGGCTTTTCAAACCCACATCTCTAAGAAGAATTTTCTCCATTCCTATCTGAGGATAAAGGGGGAGTTTTCTCTTAAATGCCCCACCCATAAAGCAGGAAGATCATTTTTGCTTCTCCCGTGATAACTCATCCACTCTCTGGCTGCCTCCATCACAAGCACACAACATACATAGCTGTTTCAGTAGAGTGAGGAGTCTCAAAGTGTAACTCAAATGCAGGAAAGAGAAACTAGCCTGATGAAAATGTAAACTATTAAATAACATCTTTGAGCCTTCCTTCTTGTCATTCTGCCTTTATCCCTTGCATCCTCTAGTTGAAACTCTTGTACTGTATTTTTTTGTGTGTATAATATGCTATTTTTTCCCTAAAACTGTTAGATTGAAAATTGACTGGCATCTTATACATGAAAGTCAGCCGAGGGGGGAGCTGTGCCTCTGCACAGCTGCCCATACCTTGTCAAACAGGCTTCCTCCAATCAGGAGCCTTATTGTTACTGATGTCAGCTGATGCCATAATTGGAGGTGGAAGTGGAAGAGGCCGAGTACACAGATGCAACAGGGACTGGAGTGTTCTGAGCCCATAAAGATGTCAAAAAATAAAGAGATAAATACCGTTAAGCGATTGTCTTACTCTGCAAAATTCAAACTGAATGTCATCAGCTGTGCAAAAGAGCATAGGAATAGAGCTGCAGAAAGACAATTTGGACCTCCTCCCACTGAGTGTATGACCAGACAGTGGAGAAAACGGGAAGAACAACTCCTTAAGATGCCAAAAAGAAGAAGGCCTTAAGAGGAAAACTCAAAATGTTTAAAATATTGATTTCTTAATTTTGTGTTGGAAAAGTGGGGCATCTTATACACAGAAAAATACAGTACTTCCTAGCACCTCATGCTAGATGTTTTCACTTGCATCCACAGGGGACTTTGCCCACAACATATTGTCTCTCCTATTTCACTTGAGAATTTCTCATTAATCCACTGTGATTTGAGAGGAAATGGGAGCTTTGCTGTTGCTAAAAAGCCAGAGAACCACATTGTAAATTGCTCAGGAACCATGCTTTACTTGTGAAGCCCCATGAACCAGCCCAAGGTTTGGCAGGATTAGTTACTCCATACATGCCGAAACACAAACAAAAACTAGAGTCAGGTTCAAGACATCTTATAGCTTAAGAGAACAGAGCTAAGTATTAAAAAGTGGCTAAGTAGTTCTGTAAGAGAAGCTGGTGTATAATTCCACTCCCTTTTTTCCTCTCCATTGCTATTTTTTTAACTTATCATTATTGTTGAAAGTATTACAGATGTCCCTCTTTCCCCCCTCCCCTAACTCCTCCCACCCTTCTTCACCACACTATTGTCTGTGTCCATGGGTTATGCATATATGCATATAAATTCTTTGGTTAATCTCTTCCCTATCCCTTCCCTCCCCCCTTCACTCCCTTTTAATGATCCTAATAAGAATACTCTTTTACTGGGGAAGGACGGATGTGCTTGGTACTCTGCTCTACAAGGCTGGGCGGGGCACCTCTGGTCATGTCCTGAGGATGTATCTGCTGTGTGCAGTTATTATTTCAGAAAAAGGTGCAGAGACAGCAACAGAGCCCCTGGTGGAAACAGAACAATGCCATTTCTTTCATCTGAGCAACTGCAATTGCTTGTTTCAAGGCATAGAATGTGTTGTGCTAGTCTTGAGTCACAAAATTCTAAAATGCACTCAGATTCTCTTGTCCCTCACCCTCTGCTCCAAAAGTGTCTGCCTGTATGGGAAACACCTTTCTTGCATTTTTTCAGTTCCCTCTGACCAGCTGCTCTTAACCCAAGTGTCCTGTCACCATTTCCTTTCACTCGCTCAGCCTTAAGAAGGCTCTCAGGCCTTAACCGGTGGTTCAGTTCTCCGTGGAATGAAGCCCTGTGGCTACAACTTGGGCTCTTCTCTTGTTCCTATCATTTTCGGCCCTTGTATAAATGTTTACTTGAAATGCAAATTTCAATATTCTGCTGTTTCAAACATCTCAACCTATTTCCACAAGCTTGCCCACATCGCCAAGTGTTATATTTATTCTGGGATCAGTGTTTAGTTTAAATCCCCCTTTGCTTAATGTGCTTTTGTGTCTCCTGGCAATATGCAGTTACCAGGCTCAATAACTCCTCGTCCCCCTCGGTGTATGCACCTTTCAAACTCCTGTGCATAACATGCATATCTCTTTAGTCACTGTTTACTTGTACATATTCTTTTAATATTTTGTCATAGAGCTAATGGCTAGAGGAAACTGTTCTCTTCTGAGCTTTCCTAACACAGAGGAAATCAGACAGGAATACTCCAATTAGAGTATGCCAGGTGCTGCCTTCCAAGCCAGTGCCGTCAGAGTACTGACCCTGCTTCGGTGAAACTTGTAGAGATCACAGCCAAAATGTTGGTTTGTTTAGATTTCCAAGGTCAAGCAGGAGTTTGTAAGCAAGCAGCTACTTACAACTAAATACATTTTGCCCTGGCTGGTGTGGCTTAGTTGGTTGGGAATTGTCCCTGCACTGAAAGTTTGCCTTTTAGATTCCCAGTCAGGGCACATGCCAGGGTTGTAGGCTCTATTTCTGGTGGGGGGCATGCAGGAG